AAGAGTGCAGGTACCTCCATCTCTGTCAGTTACATCTCGGCTACCCTAGAACTGCCCTGAGTAACATGCAAAATAAAGACACACTTCCACTCCAGGAAGAGTCTGTTGTGGCGGAAAACTTCAAGGACATCACCAGTGCTTTCTTGGGTGTGTGTGGGAGGGTGTGTGGGGACGGGAGGGGATGACGGACAGCTGAGTCTGGCAGCCCCATTTCGAGCCTATAGGTCCCTGACAGAAACTGCAGAAAATGCACATGTTTGCAGGAGCGTTAGAAGGAATCTCAAAGTTAAGCCTGTTTCCGAGTTAAGATGGTACATCAAACAGACCTAGACCCCAAACAGAAACAATTCAACAACTGCCTGTAGATCCTGGATGAATTTAGGGTGTAACGGCCCTGGGGCTCCAGTGAACATGCCACCAAGTCGGGACTGCTTCGCTGCAGTCTGCTTCCCGCAATTAAGAAAACAGGGGCAAGTGTTTGCTGGGAGGCAGGAGGCAGGCTCTTCGGCTCCTGAAGAGATTGCACGTCCAGCCCGGGAAAGGGCAAAGATACTGACTAAATTAAAAGACCAACAGCACTTATTTCCAGGCCTTGTTTGCAACTTCCTCAGGCTTAGGATGAGGGGACCAAGATCACGTTCCCTGCTCAAATCAAAAAGGACAAAGGAAAGCGACATATCCACAGGTGATCAGGTGAAGGGCATTTTCTACCAGGGCTGCTCTGTAGGGGAGAGCCCCAGGCATGCTGGGTAAACCCCAAAGTTAGCAAGAGGCAAGGATACAGAGAAACTCAAAAGGGCAAAGTTTACAAATGCCTGGTATTGGTTTTCTCTGGTGGATTGAACGACACCGTGTGCTGGCCATCGCATTTCATGCTGTTCGACCACCCTGACTCAGGAGCCGCCCCGCAGTGCGGGCTGAGAAATGGAACCGCAGGAAGATGAGCCACTAGGCAAGACCAGCCCCTCGGAAGCCAGCAACAGTGTGAGGGAGGGAAGGGCTTTATGTCACTGGACAGGGTACTGATTAGAACAGGGCGAGGGTGGTGGATGTCCATCTCCTGCCAGTGCAGGATATGATCGAGGGAAAGCCAGCCAGGGACAAGTGAGCCTGTTCCCGTTTCCACGCAGAGACAAACTAAAGGCATTCACCACACAAGGGAAACAGGTAGGGTGGGCAGGCAGTGCCGCGCTCACACTGCAGGCTCCGGCAAAATAACAGAGCCGTTAACGGTGGCAAAGTTCTGGAGCCGTGACGAACGACACTGGTCTAACGGGCTGGACTTCTGTTGCGATCAGACAGTGAAAGCTCAGGAAGGAGGGCAGGTTTACATCCAAATAGAAAGAGATGTCACGCGTACATTCATAATGCAAACTTGAAAAATAGCCCCGGGTTCAAAAGACCAATTATGAGGCTCTTTTGTAAACAGATCTATATTCACATTTTTCATGAATAATTATCATTACTGGTACTTCTCCACAAATGTTCAATTTATAAAAGGAGAAATGTACTTTTGATGGAAATTTAAATAAAACGTAGTCTCTTGAGATGGTGGCACCTGCAGATAAGTGTTAATAATGACAAAGACATAAAATCATTTTCTCTATCTACAGTAAGCAAATAAAAATGTAGGAGGGAAACAGTTATGTAACCATTCTGAGCAGTGAAACATAATGGACAGACACCAGATCAGCTACGTGTGATCCTGTCTCCTCAAGAAATGGGGCGAACCACCAGAGAATCATTGTTAATCTGTACGGTGACCCACAGTCAACTATTTCCTTGCTGATAGAAGATACATGGACGTGAGGCACATATGATAAGCATTTTATTCTTCCTATATTGAGCAACCAAATAAATTTTCTTTTTTATACTATGGCTCATTTGAAACTTTTTCTCATGAAGAGAAAATAAAGTCATAATTTCCCTGTGCCCCTCACGGCTCTTCTCTTTAGAGCTAACAGTTTATTTGCATGTTTCTCGTGCTCAGGTAACCTTGGCTTTTGCTCCGGGGCAAAGGAAGCTGACCACATGTACAAAGAAGGACAGCAGTCTTTTTACAACAACTGTAGGACCCACTCGTGTGCCATCCCAATCGGATGGTGTGAGGGCAGTCAGTCCAGTCACCCTGGTTGAGTGACTTCACGGTTACAAAGGACAGTCGGCGGTCCTGGCTCCGCGAGACACCGTGTGGGTTCAGAGGATGGTGGGCGGCGGCATGCTTGGGGAGCTCCGCTCCTGTCCTGCCTGGGCTTGCAGAGTAAAGCCTGGATGGGGTCCAGCTGGCTTGAGTGCCCTCAATGAATGGGATGCTATTTCGGGGAAGTAATGTGAATGGGGCGAGAAATGCCGCCTCAACCTCAGCGAGAAGAAGGGGACTTCGAGGCGATGGAGCCAAAGCAGCCTGAGCCACGTCTGTGTGCACACACAAAGCTTGGCCCGGCTGGTCTGCGGTGAAGGGTGGTCAGAGGGAAACCTCCAGACGGAGCCTCTGCAGGCGCAAAGGTGTAGAATTTTTCTAGAGCCCCTTGGCTGTGCTTAAAGGTGTAGGCACAGACCTTGGAGGAGTGAAAAACTGAGAGTGGTTTACATGTCCAAACACAGCGAATGCTGATTCACCAGGGCCACCAAGAACGGCCAGGGCCCTCAGAAGGAGGAGTCCAGAACAGGGCTGCCAACTCACAGGGTGTCAGCCACCTTCCAACAGCTGGGTTTGGACTTACCACACTCTAACTAACCCCCGGCCCCACCAACCTCCCATGGGATGGGGGCGGGGAGTGTTTTCTGGACAGGACCCCAGTGACTGTGGTGGCAAAGAGCCGAGCTGAAAGACTAGCCAGAAGTGACAGCAGGAAGAAAGAGGTCTCACTGCAGCAAACCCCAGGGCCAGGCCTGCCGTAGATAATGGGCATGTGCCCCTCCTCAACCCCAGAAGGGGAGCAGCAAAGACCTGCATCTCAGAGATGAGTCAATGGCCGCCCAGAGAGGTCAGATTCTTAACAAAGGTCACAGGCACAGTTACATGAGTAGCTGAGCCTGGACTTGGATACTGAATGTGCATGCGCGCGCGTGCACGTGTACACACACACACACACACACACACACACACACACACACTGGTGAAGGCAAGTCCAATGGCAACTGTCCTCACTACTTCCTGACCTCTTGAAAACTGTCAGGTTGTCAAGCAGCCCAAGTGCTATGACTCCCTTGCTCTCAAAAGCCACCAAGTCAGTTCTGACCCTGTGCACAAGGGAAGCAACACTGCCTTGTCCCGGGGGGTCTGCCCTACTGTCAAAGTAAGTAAACACTAGATATCAACCCTGGCACCTGCTTGCTGGTGGTGCACAGACACAGACCCACAGAGCACAGCGGCCCCGGGCTGCGGGCTGTGTGCGAGCAGCTCTCCAGGCCTTCCTCCTGAGGAGCTGCTGCGCCACCCTGCTCCTGGCCTGTGGAAGGTGGGCTTTCCTCTGCTGACAGGAGGACGTCTGCCAGTGTGAGTGTGCAGGAACAGCCTGGCTACTTCCTAGCCAGAAGGCCAGAGCCACAGAGCTCTGATAACGAGCACAAGTGTTCACAACCATTGTTGGCGGCTGTCCCCACGGTGGCTCTGGGTGCCCACACAGCCAGCCCCCATGGCCTTCTGCACTGCTGCAGAGTGAGAACTACAACCTTGCCGAGGACTGCACCCGCCATCCCCACCTCAGAGACTGAGAACTGAGAACGGGGGCATGGGAAATGGCAGTCCTTCTGGCTGCTTTTCGGCACCTTACAGGCAGAGCCTCCAGGGAAGAGTCTTTTCAATAAGGAAAATGAACCGTTCAGCGATGTTGGTTATTTTAACCAAATGGTCTTAGCAGCATCTTAGTCGGTTTCTAATTGGCTCGCCATGTTACCAAACTGTCAGGAAACACCAATCTCACATGAGGCAAAGACGGGACACATAGAACACTGAGGAATGAATAATTCATGCATGAATATATCTGCCATCGTGCTATGTTATTAGATGACCTTTCACACAGACTTAATGGGATCATGTGGCTAATAAGAGAGACGACGGCACTATGTTTGTGGGATGCACAAGCACATACAGGGGACCCCAGACGGACCCTGAAAGGCAGCTGTGGGCCAGCTTCCAGCTCTGTCATGGGAAGGGCCCGTTGGCCCACTGGGGTCAGCTGCAGGGGAGGGAAGGCTCTCACAGTCCAAGTCAGGCAGCACATAGGCATATGAATAGCCCTAAACACACGGGAGTCCACTGCCCCCAAGCCCAGGTGGTCCACCTAAGAGGTCCCCGTCAGTCACTCACATGAACTCTTATCAGGCTGTGGTGTCCCACCCCCAGACGGCCAGAGAACCCACCCCCAGTTGATGCCCAGTCACACATCCGAGCGTGACATTCCTGAAGCATCCTGAGCCCCTCTGCACATCATCCCCCCGCTCTCAGAATACATAGGTTGTCTGTGAAAGGCGACCACCCTTTGAGCCACCTGTGCAATGTGACCTCCTGCCAGCCGGAGGAGGCCCAGTGGCGAGTCTGCAGAGGAGGACACATTTCAGGATCCTCTCCTCCTTCTGCTGCTCAGAGCTTGGCTGCACCTGTCGCTGGGCAAGGCGAGGCATGCTGGGAAGATCAGTGTGCCATAGGACTGCAAGGCCTCAGGGGGAGGCTGGGAACAGTCAGCGACCAGCCTGAGCTCCAGCTGTGGCCACTCAGGCTTTGTGTAGGTAAAAACACACGTACGACATGTACACACATCAGGGCTCTATTGTAATGGATATACACGTATGGACTTTTGCTATGGAATTGCATAGGGTCCTAGCACAACATGAGGCATCCTGGTAGCTCAGTGGTTCAAGCCTGCCAGCTGCTCTGCAGAGGAACGATGAGGCTTCTCAGTATTGAAAACCCCATGGGGCCGTTCTCCATTCTCCGTGTCTGATAGGTCCCTATAAGGTAGGACCTGACCCGGGACTGCCTGGTGGGGCACACTCACCTGTAGTCACACCAGGGACAGCTGTAGGGCTTCTCTCCAGTGTGGACACGCTTGTGCCTTGTCAGGTGGGACTGCGTGGTGGAGGCGAAGCTGCACTCCTCACACCGGAATGGCTTCTCCCCTGCAAAGCACCCAGAAAGGTTGTTGGTGAGTGATTAGCCTGCCCGGTACTCGAGGACAGCTTTCACAGCATGTAAAGATTGCAGTGCCGGGGCCACATGAGTGGAGGAACTGGGAGTGAGTGAGGCTGGAGGCCTGCTTCTCTACTGGGAGACAGGTGAGGAGCACACTGAGGGACACCCACAGGCCAGCCTGGCCTCCCAGACCAAACAGCATCCCAGGGACGGCCTTGTCCCCGACCTGAGCCAGGAGCCATTCAGCCAAGGGTGCCGCACTTCAGAGATACAGTAATCACGTCAACAAAACCCAGGAAAAGTCTGCAATGGCCCACATGACAAACTGCATGCTGGCTCTGTCAAGACACAACCAAGTTAAAAGAAAAAAAAGATACAACCAAGCTCCAAAGTGACACCACTGAAAAATGTTGGGAGGAGAGAAAATTAGAGCTCATAAGTTTGAATGAAAGACGCTGAGCCTCAAAGCAGCCTTGAAAGCAGACCCTGAACTGGTCCCCTGACCCCAAGTGACAGGGACACCTGACACAGAGACTGGGAGGAAAGAGGTGGGGCCAGAAGCAACGGTTTAGCCCACCCCGACCACTGTTTTGTCTCTGCCACACACACTTAATTTTGAGCAAGTAATATCAAATTTTAAAACTGATACCAGATCCAGTCGCTGGAACCTGTTTGAAGTCCCCAGGCTCCTCTTGGCAATCCTAATCCACTTTTTTTCCATGCCTATTCTATCAAATGTAAACAGAGAGCATGCCTTTCAGATCCAACTGGAATGCCAGAGCTGAGATGCAAATGGTGTAAAAGAAACCACACCCTACTACCTGGTACAGAAAAGGTGGGTAAGCTTTAAAAGTACAATGAGCACAGAGGACAAGCTACTTAATGAATAAATCCTGGGTTGAGGTCCAGGCTCTTTGACAGGGATCTGACCCAAGCCGTGGTTTCCTATGGCAGCCAAATAAAAATGAGGGTGATGGGGAAATAGGTCAGTAACATTGTTTATGTCTCCACAGGAAAGAGAGAGGGACCAGACCCCATCGTGGAGCACCAAGCCTGCAGGGCAATATACTGGCATGGAGCAGCAAACCAACAGTGACGATGATGGGACAGGGCTCAAGCCGAACTACATTGACTCCTCCACAGAAGAAAGTAATACAGAGAACAGTACTGAAGATAGATTGGATGGATGGATGGATGGATGGATGGATGGATGGATGGATGGATGGATGGATGGGACAGAGAGAGAATACCTCATCATGGTCCACCAAGCCCTGGGGATAACATCCCTGGCTTGGAGCAGCCAATGCACAAAAAGGACCGTAGGGCCGGTGCCACCACAAGACATGATGCATCCTCACTGACCCAAAGTGCTACGGAGGACAGCACTGGAGACACAGTGAAGAAGTGTGCCCAGTCTGCCCCACGCACAGAGGAGCAAAGTGAGAAGGGAATGCAACAGGAAAGTAAGGGGAGCAAATCAACCAAATCCTCGAGGAATCCTGGAAATAGACTCTGACTCTGGGATAGACTTAGGACTTGGGGGATAGGGCTTGGCACCTCATCAGATCCAACTGGAAAACACACATAAGGGTCAGCAGACAGGCCTGGAACTATCGGGTTTTATTTTGTTTTTTCTTTTGCCCTATGTCTATCTATATAAGATAGGCAGGACAAATGTTCCGGAGGAGAAAACAATGGGACCTTTACGGGAGTGGAATGGGAGAGGAGGGGGTGGGGAAAGGAAGCAGGGAGTCAACAAATTCAGGGATAAGGGAACAACAAATGATCTAAAATTGAGTTATCAGGCATCAAAGAACAAAAAATCATATCATTGTGTGCTCACCTCAATGATACGACCGCTGAAGACAAATGGGTGCATAAGCAAATATGGTGAAGAAAGCTGATGGTGCCCAGCTATCAAAAGATTTAGCGGCTGGGGTCTTAAAGACTTGAAGGCAAACAAGCGGCCATGTAGCTCAGAAGAAACAAAGCCCATATGGAAGAAGCACACTAGCCTATGCGACCGCAAGGTGTCGAAGGGATCAGGTATCAGGCATCATCAGAAAAAGAAATCTTACCATAGCGAATGAGGGGGGGAGTGTGGAGTGCAGACCGAAAGCCCATTTGTAGGCCACTGGACATCCCCTTGCAGAGGGATCTCAGGGAGGAGATGAGCCAGACAGGGTGCGATGTAACAACGATGAAAAACACAACTTTCCTCTAGTTCCTAAATGCTTCCCAACTGCGCCGCCCCCCTCCCCCCACCCCACTATCGTGATCCGAATTCTACCTTGCAAGTCTGGCTACACCAGAGGGTGCACACTGGTACAGATAGGAACTGGAAAAACAGGAAATCCAGGGCGGATGAACCCTTCGGGACCAGTGGTGTGAGTGGCGATACTGGGAGTGTGGAAGGAGAGTGGGTTGGAAAGGGGTAACCGATTACAAGGATCTACATGTGACCTCCTTCCTGGGGGGCGGACAACAGAAAAGTGGGTGAAGGGAGACGTCGGACAGGGCAAGATATGACAAAATAACAATTTATAAATTATCAAGGGTTCATGAGGGAAGGGGGAGGGGGGAGGGAGGGGAAAAAAATGAGGACCTGATGCCGGGGGTTTAAGTGGAGAGCAAATGTTTTGAGAATGATGAGGGCAATGAATGTACAAATGTGCTCTACACAATTGATGTATGTATGGATTGTGATAAGAGTTGTATGAGCCCCTAATAGAATGATAAAAAATAAACAAAATAATAAACACAAGTAAAACTCAAAAAAAAAAGGATCTGAAATTGATAAGGAGGAGGGGGCATAATGCCTAGCGGGTTTGATCAAATGCAATGTATCTGAGAGTAATTACTAAGAGCCAAGTGGAGGGTGAGCATGGTAGTGGGACTGGAGGAAGGTGAATGGTAATAGAGGAAAGAAGTAGAAGGCAACAGCTATTTATAAAGGTACAGCTATAGGCATGTATAGATATCAATACACTAATTTATGAGGAAAGGGATAGACGCCAATGTACATATTTATATGTTTAGTAAGATAGCAGACTGACTCTAGGCTTCTACTCAAGGCATCCCTAAACACAAGAACACATTGTCATATCTATTTACCTGGCCCTCATTAATACTCACCTTCCATACATGATCGATGAAGACAAATGGGTGCATAAGCAAATGTGGTGAAGAAAGCAGATGGTGCCCAGCTATCAAAAGATCTAGCGTATTAGGTGTTAAAGGCTCGAAGCTGAACAAGCGGTGATCTAGCAGGGAAGCAATTACGCCCACATGGAAGAAGCACACCAGCCTGCGTGACCATGAGGTGTCGACGGGATTAGGCATCAGGTATCAAAAGATCCAAAACAAACAATTATATTGATGTGAAAGAGGGGGATTGGAGTGGAGACCCAAAGCCCAACTGTAGAAAACTGGAAATCCCCCCACAAAGGAGTGCAAGGAAGGGGCGATTCAGCAAGGGTACAGTATAGCACCAACAGAAACACACATTACTCCAGTTCCTGAATGTCCCCCACCCACTACCATTTCCCAGTTCTACCTTACAAATCAAGCTAGATCAGAGAACACACATTGGTGCAGATAAGAGTTCTCGACACATGGAATTCATGACAGATAAAACCCTTCGAACAGTAGGGGAGTAGTGCTATCATGAGAGTAGGAGGATAGTGGGGGTGGGGAGGGGAAGGAGAGAAAGGGGGAACTCATCTCAAGGTTGGATATATAGCCCACCCTCCAGGGGGATGAATGAAAGAAATATAGGTGAAGGGAGACAACAGACAATGTAAGCCACGAAATAACAGTAATAATACAAAATAGATCAAGGATTCAGGAGGGTGAGAAGGGGTGGAGGGGAAAAAAGAGGAGTTGATACAAGGGCTTAAGTAGAGAGAAAATGCTTTGGAAATGCTGATGGCAACATATGTACATGTGTGCTTAATACAATTGAATGATGGATTGTTCTGAGGTTTGTAAGAGTCCCCCAATAAAATGACTAATAAAAAGAAGAAAACAGAACGGCAGAGCACTTCTGATTCCTGTACTGATGTCACCGTGAAATTAGGAGGCTGGAGTAGAAAGGGGGAACCAATTACAGGGATCTACATATAACTTCCTCCCTGGAGGATGGACAATAGAAAAGTAGGTGAGGGGAGACGTCAGACAGTGTAAGATATGACAAAATAATAATTTATAAATTATCAAGGGTTCATGGGGAGGGAGGGGGAAAATGAGGAGCTGATACCAGGGGCTTACGTGTAGAGCAAATGTTTTGAGAATGATGAGAGTAACGAATATACAAATGTGCTTTATACAAATGATGTATGTATGGGTTGCGATAAGAGTTGTATGAGCCCTCAATAAAATGATTTTTAAAAAAAAGAAAATGAATGCCCCAAAACACAAAAAGAAATTAGGAGGCTGAGGATGAGGTTACATTAACCATTTTGTTAGAAGTTCATTTCATGTGATCCCCGCCCCCTTTTTATTCAGGGTCACTGGCAGCATTCCATCTTCTATTTGGGGTAGCAACTCGGACTACAGAAAACTCCCCCGCTCTGGCGCCCACAGTCGAATTCTTCTCATCAGCATTTTCCCAGGCCAGAGTCCGCCTGGGCAGAGATTGGTTTTAAGGCTGTTCAATAGTTGCACCCGTTCCCTCTGGTTTCTCTGAGGGAGAACAGTAAGACTGTCTGCTCCAGGGAATAGTTACCTCTGGGACTACCCGAGGGCGGCGGGAAGGTTTCTTTGGTGTCTTGTTTCCGGGGATGCTAGAAGACATTGAATTGCACATGGAGCCATGCAGAAAACTGGGGAAGCATCATCAGTGAGCCTGACTGGACATCAACTCGGCCAGCAGCACCACTGAACCTCAGAATGGGCACGTGTTTGGCAGGCCTTCCTCGCTGGGGTTGAATGGCGATGCTTGAAGGGAAGCAAGGGCACATGGCTGGCTGTGGGCTGAGTGGAGGAG